TTTTAGGGTAAGGATTTTAGAAAAAAGTATCGTCTTATAGTCGGAAAAATACGGTACTTTGGAAAGTAACTTAGCCTTATTTAATTCAAGGTAAAGATTAATAACTACATCAGCCTTCTTCAAACTGTTTTCTCTTCAGATTTTAAAACTCTTAGAATTCTTAGCAATGGCCCTGCTGGCTGGGGAATTTTGGGAATTGGTCTATACCATTTAAAGTCAACATTAATGTCAACAGAATATCAACAGATACTGGAAAAAAATGTATCTGTGAGCAGATGTGAAGAGAGAGAGAGAGGCAAATTAGTCACATTTCCTTGCTCTCAAGTCAACATACTTAATAGCTTTTTTAATGAAAGAATCAAGGTATTATTGAGAAATAAAGGGCTACTGAAATCCCTCAATTTTCCATTCCCTTCATCCAATCAGATTGTTAGTCAGCATATTCATCCTTTAAAATATGTCAGTGTATCCTCCAGAGGAATTAGCCATGTTAAGACTCCTGCAATGAAGGTAATTGCCTTCTAAGTGTTTTGAGAATAAACTTGGGATCCCCAAGATGCCATCCCATGGCTCCCTGAATTTGCTTGTACTGTAAATGAAATACAAAGACCCTTTCTCTGGTGTTATCTTTACTTCCAAGAACGTATCTGATCTGTAAAGGGCCTGATAACCATCTTACAGTAACATAAACCAAAGACGACTATCAGCTTCTTTAATTTTTAGGTTAAAAGTGATCCTGTCTTGTACTCTTCTATCTATTCCAGAATCATCTTCACTTCCACCCTATGTGATTTTATCGTAACCTTTGATTGTTGTGAACTGCTCAGAGGCATTGAGAATCAGGCAGCATACAAATTACGTATTATTATTTTGTAGATTACAGCGGAAATAAAAATACATTGTTCAGCCATTCGTGTTTTGTTCTTTTGTTGCTTCTGACTTTTTTCTTTTTTTAATTTTCTGTAATTCCCAGACAACAATATTTCCTATGCAGACCACGGGCTACTCTTCCATAGCCCTTGCAATATATCTTTAATAAGCTAGATCCAAACGAGCAAGCCGGGCTTTAGTTCTATTTATTTTCATGGAAATGAAGCATAATCTTGTTAATCAGGATTAACCCAATAACATGAGCACTTTTTTTTCTCATGACAGATGCAAAAAATAGTCACTGATGTTAAATTCAAACAGTTTAATTATCATGTGCATCATAGCAGGATACTGCTATATACATCTTAGCAGGATACTGCTATATACATCTTAGGACCATGAAGATTTGAGATGCATCTCTCTGACTTGAATAATTGAGGCACAGCTAATCTGCCTCCCTGGCAGAGTTTTGGGACCTGTGCTGCAGAGAAACATTACAAGCAAAGCAGCTCTACCACTGATTAGAAGCTACCCCACTTCGTTTCTCACAAATATTACTCTAAAACCTACATCAGGCTCCAGAGTTTATTGGCTGCAAAGAAATTTTATTGTGACAAATGAGAAATCTAAATCTCCCAAAGCCCAAGCTCTTCTTAAATATTGTGAAATCATTCTTCAACATGCTGTGTCATTAGTAAGAGCAGGCCACGTCATCCAAGAAAACAAGAACAATGTAAGCTATTGGTGTGCTCCTTGTATTGAGATCACTTAGAAATGAGGACACTCATTATACTGAATCCAACATTTTGAAAATGCTGGATCCAGTATGATACAGGTAATACAGAATCTTCAAGATCATATATCTGCTAATTTCAAGATCAACAGCTTTTTGATTCAAGTCTTCTATATACCTGTATTATTTTCATCCTGCAGTTCCAGATATTTATTTGCATTTATTTTTTTAACAATAAAGCAGCAGCCTAGTCTTTTTTTTTTCACTAGGATGTGGCCTCAACAGGAAGTCACCCTGACAGCAAAGCATTCAGACTGAGAAATCATTCTTACTATGAACCCCAACACTTTTTTTCCCTGTTCTCCCCAGCTTCAGATGACACTCACAGGACTAAATAAACGAAATCAGGAATGTAACTGTTAACAATCTAAAACATTACCAGGAATTCCAGTTTTGGCAATAGCTGCAGCAGCATGATCTTGTGTGGAAAAAATATTGCAACTGGACCACTGGACCTGGAAAATAAGGATAATTCAAAATGCACCCCACTACATTTCATAGATATATACAGTTAATGAAGCAATCCCCAAAGCTTACTACTTTGATAGAATTTGATTGGGGGGAGGAGGAGGAGTGCTTCAAAGACAAATAGTTTGAAAAATCAGATCAATTATTTCCCAATGAAAGCTGAGTCAGAGTTCAAAACATTGTACCTGATTAAACTAAAAGCTTTCCAAAGCTCAGTAACTGAAAATCAGAATGTAATTGGGCCTTGAAGATAACTGCTTACTTAGGTTTCTTTTTCTAGCTTTAGTCAAAATTTTCTGATAGCTTTTCCTCATATCAAGTTAATCATGACACTGTAAGGAAATCTTATGGGTGGCTAGTTGCAGACTGGAGTCAGACACTGCTTTAAGCAATGCCATAACTTCTTTGGTTCTGTTGCACAAATCCAGTCATTGCAGTTTTATAGTTCAACACAAAAATAGCCCATTGCACTTATTCAACAAGCTAGAGCTTAGCAAAACTGAGCACAATCAACCCAGGATTAAGGAAGTCTCTGTACAAACTAATTTGCAGGGGATCAATGTTCCAACCACAGGCTTCTCGCCTGCAAACTATAATTTCAGATGAGCAAATAATACAATTGCTGGGCTTATGGATACAAACAAATCACTCTATAGCATGTGACCCCATCCTTTTTATAAGTGGCAGAATACAGGTGGGGAAGCAGTGTTCTCTCTGCCAGATCTGTGATGATAGCTCTCAGTCTCTACAGTCACTACTAGGGCACATCATGCCTACCAGCTATAATTACTCTGAAGCACTAAGCCATAATTTTATCAACCATGCTTTATTGAGTAAGTGAATTTAACTGAGTTTGCACAACATGGTATCAATGATTTACAAGCCACAATGGCTAAGTTCACATAGCACACTAAGCTGTAACATTCATACATGATTATGAATGGAAAGACTCAATGTAAACTATAACTATCATGTAGCAAAATGTTTACTGTGGCATGGAAAAACAGTCCCAATAGCTTTGAGAGAAATATAAGTAAACAATTAAACTTTCCCAATACTATGTTATTTATTTGATTTTCCTTTTAACTGTTTCTATCAGTTGACAATCTTAAACTCTACATGGGCCATCTGGTGTCATCCTAATTCATCACAATCATTTCTGTCATGAATGCGATTTAACCCAAAAGCAGCTTTACCTCTGCCCCCAGAGCCAATAGAGTTTCAATCAGAACCGCAGTCTGCACTGTCATGTGTAGGCAACCAGCAATCCGAGCTCCTTTCAGTGGCTTTGTTGGGGAGTACATCTCACGCATCTTCATCAGCCCTGGCATCTCATTCTCAGCAATGTCCAGGGCCTTGCGTCCCCATTCAGCAAGGCTGATGTCAGCTGCAGGTTAAGGAAATAACAGAAACTGAAATACAGCATTCATAAATTTATGGTTCAGCCTTCTCCAAACTTCCAGAATAAAATTTTAAGAAAGGAAATGTGATACTAAATACTAAGGGTACATGTCAACTTTTCAAGAACTAGAGGGAAATTCTAGTTCTTGAAAAGTTGACATGTTCTTGAAAAGTTGACATCATACAAGCTCTATACAAACGTCATTTATCAAATGTTATGACTTGATAGCAATTGGCTCTATGTTACAACAACTAGTTTTGTTAGAAACACAGGAAATTTCTTTCTACACCAATACCTCCATCTTAAAACAATGAGAACCAACCAACAGTGCTCAGAAAGTTACATTGCTTACAAACATCTACCTAGCCATTATATAAAAAAAAAAGTTGGCCTTCATACATCTTTGCCCAGACCCAGCAAAACAATTCTTACAGGGATATGCATCTCAATATAATTTTTTTTCCTGAAGTACCACTGCTCAAGTTTATGTCATCAATGTCTAAACTTCTAACGCCTAAACAGACAGCAAAATTATAACAAGAGAAATGGGAATGTGCAAAGTTGCTTCTGCCATCCTGTTTTCCGTGGATTGCTACAAGAGTAGCAAGCCACTTCTACATTACGATAAAAAGAAAATTCACGAGGAAGCATGATTTCAAAAAAAAAAATCATAAAGGTGATTGTAAAGAAAGAAAACAAAAACAAAAACAGCAACAATATTCAAACACCAAGGAAATACAGTGTTACAGGTTTTGGAAGGAGAATGGGCAAGAACAGCTGACATACAGTACTGCGATCCCAGAATGAACTATCTTCAGACCCTTTTCTACTCACCCTATTTTATCCCACTTGCCATTTTCTTAAAAAAAAAAACAAAAAAACTTATAACAGCATTTGGTACTGTTAAATACCTTTGTGATCCTCTTACAAGGTTCACTAATATCCATTAACCTAAATAATGTTAGATTGTCAACAGCATCTGCTGTGCTTTATAATTAAGGGACTTCTAATGGTGGTCATTTTGGGGACTCAAACACAAAGCAGAAAGCGAATACCCTAAGATTGGAGACCTTATTCAGTGGAATCATGAATGCTTAACTGGGAATAAACCCAAGAGAAGCAACAGGTATTGCACCAGACAAAGCATCTACAAATGTTGAAGAGATAGAGAAGTGAAAAAATGCTGATGCAAAGCATTTAATGAATAATTGACTTTAGTCATCTTTACCCTAGAACAAAACCTAGGTGATTTGTGCATGTACATACACGTCTGATTTCAGAGATGTTACTTGTTGAAAGGACAATAGCAGGAGAAACAACAGTTTTACACAATGAACACCATTTAGAGTATTTTGTTAAGCTATCTAAATTTCCTTAGGAAACATCAGGATCTTCTGATACAAAATAACCTTTTGGAATTAATAACAATGACTTGTACACTCTCAAACACAGAAGTCCAGACATGGTGTTCTGTGGATGTTCAAAGGTTGTAAATGGCCAAAGGTTGAGAATTATGGGAGTTACAGTTCAAAACATTAGTAAGGCTGGCCTAACAATTGCCCCACATTGCCCAGCATATACATAATTCCACTTTCCAATTCTGATCCCTTAAATGGATGGCAAGTCTCCAATATTACACTAATTCATTAAAGCATTCCTACACTATCCGTCCATGGAATATTCCAGGTCTACCGGAGATGGTCCAAATTCAGCAACATTAAGAATACTGTGAGGATCGAAAAAGCTCTGATTCTAAACATTGTAAATGGAACCTCTATCTCATGCTTGCCCACAAATACTTCCTTTATTATCACTGCTCTTTTAGAGTGTGAAAGGTTAGCAAGTCTTAATTCTGCATAGCATTTGATTTTATGCATCTGGAAAAACAATGTGTCTTTTAAAAAAATTCGGATTGAGTTTCAAGTAAGAGCCCTTTTCTTTTGTAGAAATAATTACTAAAACTCGTGAATGGACTTAACAGCCAGAGGGCAGCGGTTGCTTGACAGCATGGTCCCCAGGAGCATGACGGGAAATGTAGTAATTTCAGTTGCAAGGCTCGAACGCCGTCCTGCTACTCAGCAGTCAGAAGAACTACACTTCCCCAAAGCCACTTTTCCCTCCAGAGCCACATGGCGTTTGCTCAGACATTACATGGAAACGATCTAGAAGGCAATCTGAAATCCATTTTGACTACAGAAGAAAAACATAAGCCTTCCCACAGGATACAAGCAGCACTACGGAGGATCACCCCTTTAATTTTCAGATCAATTTTCAATTAACGACAATCGGCTGCATCTACATCCTCCCCGGGGAGGAAGAATGATGTATCAATCTTTCAAGATCCTTCTGGATTTATAAAACACCTCCTCTCTGAGTTTCAAAAACAGCCAAAGGCACAGTAAAAAAAAAAAAAGGCATCGGATGTTTCTTTCCTAAATTGTTTCCGAGAAAAACGTAAGTCCTTGGCCACTGCTCTTTTTGCAACAAACCTCTGTACTGTATTCGGAAAGGAAACAGAACTGCCTCCGCAGGCCTCGCATGGGGACCGCTTACGGCCTGAAGAAGAACGAATAGGAGAATTAACTACTTACCAACTTTGTACGGCAGCTTGTCGGACATGCTGACGCTTTTACAGCGCGGAAGAGAAGGGGAAAGAAGGCAGCCGTCCGAATGGGCGAAGAAAAGCAACCGGCGCCAAAAGCAGGCTTTAAATAGACTCGCCTACTTTTGCAAATCCCCGAGGCCGCGTCCACCAATCCCCGTCCGCGGCACGAAGTGGGCGTGGTCGTGGTCGTGGAACGCTCGAAGGGAAGGTGGTGCTGCCCGGGGCGGTGGGGAAGAGGGTCGCGGCGTCTATCGGGGAGGGGAGGAACACCCCCTCCTTTCAAACGTCATAGAGCCATTCCGTTCTTTGTGGTTGTTCTTGCATTGATACTACGTTGAGGGCCGCTACAGGACATCTGCAATAACCCAGACGACCATTAGGTGGCAAAAAAGGTTAGTTTTCCATATCCATTTGCTGCCACCTAATGATTGTCCGGATCTTGGCCGTCCAGATCTGACAGCTCTAAATAATTAGTCTTAATTATTAAAAGTGTTTAATTTTGTAATCCCTATATATCAGTACCGCCTCCCCGCCGGATCAAGGGTTTCCTGCTAAATATAACACTCTGGGAAAAAAAAATTTTTTTAATTTTAACAAACCAAACCTAATGTTATGTTTGAATTACCAAAGTCCAAGTTTTTGCAATTTTGATAGAGTTGTTCTATCTTTCTGGCAAAAGAGAAGAATTTCAAGGATTGGCTTTTCTTTTCTTTTCTTTCTTTCTTTCTTTCTTTCTTTCTTTCTTTCTTTCTTTCTTTCTTTCTTTCTTTTTTTTCTTTTATTGCAGAAGAAGCTGAGCTGATTGGATGATTTAGGGTGCACCAGCTTTGAACTCTCCAGATTGCACGAAATTATCAAGATGGCCAGACATAAAATTATACGAAGAGTAGAAAATGATGAAGTCAAGAATGATAATGAATTGGATAATAGTTCCCAGTCTTTTTTGGGCTAAAGTTCACAACTGATGTTAATAGTAAATTGCCTATGGACCTGCAATCTGGGTTCACATAACATACTAAACCAACCGTGGTTTGCTTGGTTGTGATTCAGGTGCATTGTGTAAACTCAGCCATTATGGTTTTGCATACATGTAGCATATTAAATCAGCTTGGTTAAACAAGTCAGGGTGTACTGTGTTCTGTGAACATAATCACAGTTTATGCACCCAAAATTAAGCAAACGTTTAATTCATACAAAGTAGTGCTGTGAATAGAAGCCTCTCTGATTCAAAGTAATTATTAGCTCCCATCCAAGTTGTTACTTTTCTATAATGGGTATTCATATGTGTTAATCAGAGAGCCAGTTTGGTATCGTGGCTAAAGTGCTGGACTAGAAACTAGATGGCCGTGACCATCCTCCTGTAGGCATGGAAGTGGTCTTGGTGACTTTGGGCCAGTCATGCTCTGTCAGCCCAAATTACCTCATTGGGTGATGGTGGTTATTGTCACAAGAGGATGGAGCATTATATATATAACTCATTACATTGTACAAATAAGGAAGGAGGCGGGGGGGTGTCAAAAGGGCAGCAGTGGCTACGTAGTCAAAGCCTCGCATCTTTTAATGCTAGTGGCATATAAAAAGGGGGCAGGGCTTTGAGCACATGGTCATAGCCAGCATATTGACTTTTCTGACCCATGTAGACATCCCTAAACTAGAGGCATGAACCCTGCAATAATGAAGTCCTCCTCTATGAGGAGATGAGGTCCCAGGTATCACCCTTTCAGGCCCTCCCAGCATCTTCAGAAGCTACTTCCCAGTGAGCAATTTCCTCAGGCCACCTTGACAGCTGTTCCCAGCAGGCGTGGTGGCTTCTGAAATCTCTAACGATGAATTGATGGGTGTGCTATTACATTGGCTGTTTTCTAGCAGCACATAGGTCGAGGCTGTCAGATGACATCATTTTGTTTGGTCGTGGCTTGATTTTATGCATGTAAATTCAGGACTGTATAAATTAGCATTAACTAATTTAATATTAAATGTTAAATAATTTAGCTCAAGCATTTGCACTTTTAGTCTGCCCTTGCCTTCTGCCATATTAAGTATGAGCAATCCAGGGCTATGTTTCCAAAGGCCTTTCTTTTATCTCCCATCCAAGGAATCTCTTACAATGTTGATCTTTAGGCTTGGTTCAATCCAAATGGGTTTTTAAAATATCAATGATACCAACTTCAAATAATCTGGGAGGAAGTGCCCATCAAACCTCTCCATTTAAAAAAAAAGTATTTCTGCAGACGGTGACATTGAGATTTGGAGTACTGCAGTAATTATTATTGGGTTTATATTAGGAAAGGGAAGAGTTAAGTTAATCCTGCCTGTACACTGTGGTTATGTTGACAAAAAGGAGCGGAGAGGATGCCTACTAATTTAAAAAGCACAGTCTGACATGGTTGATAAAGACACATATAGTCTATGTTCAATTAATTCCTACAAATTAACTCCCCAGCAGAGGGCAGTTTTACTAAAGTTACAGAAAAACTTTAGAAAAAGAACTGTCTTCCATTTGAAATTAGAGTAACTGACTTCTGATTAAATGCTGCAAAAAGAAGATACAGTACTGCTATCATAGATAATCAACTGTGGAGACTCTATTTTATTTTTCTCTATATCTTCAATTTAATCAAAAGACAACTGCTATTCCACATATAAAGTTGATAGTTGATAAATAGTATATTTTAGTTCATTTTTATAATTTATAAAGATATACAGGCAGTCCTCATTTAGCAACCACAAATAGGACCGGAAACTTGGTTGTTAAGTGAAGTAGCCACTAAGTGAAAGAGACTGTGCTTATGATCTTACTTCAGCTTTCTTTTGCTTTACAGACCTGCGAAGGTCATAAATGTGATGATTGGTCATAAAGTTACTTTTTCATCACCATCATAACTGTGAATGGTCGCTAAACAGTACAGTTGCTAAGCGAGGTCTACCTGTATAATTAGCAAACTGAGTTATCCTCAAATAAAACAGAAAAACATCGCCAATTGAATCAGATGAGTACTCTTCATACAGAAATTCTTGGTGGCTTAAGTGGCCCCTTCCAGCTGTATAATCCCATGATTCCATATGAAAAAGTAAATATGATGAGGTAGCAACCAGCAGTACTCAAACCAGAGAAGACTACTACATTTTAGAACTCTTCTGCATGGCAATCTTAAGGTTCTTGCTTCTGTGCTGAAATCAGCTGGAAATGAAGTTGACTTATGAGATTGCTGGAGAGGGCAAAAAGTCTGTGTGTATATGGCTTCATTCTTGTATATAATAAAGAATCTAATCCAGAACTTCTCAACCTTGACAACTTTAAGATATGTAGACTTCAGCTCCTAGAATTCCCCAGCCATCTGGCTGGAGAATGCTAGGAGCTGAAGTCCACATATCTTAAAGTTGCCAAGGTTGAGAAATAGCCAAGATTTACCGTGACTCAGGGTGCAGCATATCCTTTCCAGACATAGAGAAAGATGTCCTTGAATTAAAGCTAGCTGCTTAACAACAATACAGAAGTGGTTTGCCATTCTGTTCTTCACCTTGCATTTTCAACTACTCATTTAGTCCATAGCCCTGAAATTCCCTAATGGTTTTTCACCCAAGGACTTATTAATGTAACTCGTATTTCGTTACTGAAGCTCCAAATTCTAAGATTCCAGATTCCCTTCAGAAATAATTTCGCATATTTGTTCTGGAAAGCTTTACAAGAAAGGTTATATTTCCTTTGTATATATATGAATACATCAGTTAATAGTAAACTGCCATATCCTAGGAAATATAAATTTCAAATCTAGTTGATCACATGGTCACACATGCAGACAGGCAGACACTGTTCCTCTTCCTGCATCAGAGCACCAAATCTGGTCCTAGGTTACTTATAGAGATGAGGGAATGTCTGTCCTATTGGTTGCTGTATTCCAGGGGTGTACAACTTTTTTTTAGGGCTAGGGCTTGTCTTACTCCAAGAAGTAAACAAGGCATGGACAAATAGTTGGTTTGAATCAAGGCAAACATTAATTTGATTTAATTTCAATCTAATTATGATGACTAATTATCTCATTTAAAAAACTACTGATCAGTGGCAGTTTTTGGAAAGACTTTCAAGAGTACATGAAATTTTGGGGCCTCCATTTGTATGCTTATTGTATACACGAGGGTGTTCTGTTCTTTAAGTTGTAATTCAGGTCCCTGCTGCTGTGAACTTGATTTTTCATTCTTCTGGATAATTCAGATTTTAGAAATTTCCTGAAATTTTTTTCTTTAAAATTATTAGCACTTACCCTCTGCCTAAACCTTCAGAATGAGTTTGAAGGTAATCTGTACTTTATCCAATTTGAAATGAGAGAACAAAGAGAAAAATTTTGATCCATCCTGAAGTAACAACAATTCGTTCACCTACACTCAAAAAGGAAAAGAAAGAATAGATTGCACTTTGCAAGCAGCTCCATACTCTGCTGAAGAGAAGAGGAAAACTCACAAAATGTGTGTCAATTTCATCTCTGCTTGGACTCGTGGAATAGAACTGCAAAATTTAGGAGTCAGGAGTTGTACGTCTTGTTTTGCAAGTGAGTGAATGCAAAACGAAACCTACCTGGTTGCACTGCAGCTGAGCAGGAAATAAACTGACTCACCTTTCCAACACTGCTGGTATCCTGAGAAAATAGAAAGTTGGAGTTGTCACATTGACTCAGAATCCTGTTGAGGAAGTGCCAATGGCAGTACATTGATTCTTCTTGGTTCCTGATCTGTTTATATGTTTTGCCAATTAATTCATCTTAGGATATTTTTTTGGCTTTTTTTTGGGGGGTCATAAATTCACCTACACTGCTCTTACTTTTATGAGAGTGTTCTTTCTTTAAATAATATTTACTTATTGTAGTTTTGGAGGGGGATTCTGTGAAACACCTACTGAATTATAATTTTGAGAAGTGAGGCACAATGAACTTTGGGGAACCTTAGGAATGCAAAATACAAAAGATTCATTATGAGCTGTGAATTCCAAACAATGCAAATAATATCAGATTCTACTGGATTTGGTGGTGTTTGCTAGGTTAAGATAAACTTAGAGATGACCTCTCTAGCTTGTAATGCAAGTAACAGAAGTAAATGATGGTGGATAATACG